AAAGACACTTTCTGGGAAAGGGGAAACTTGAAATAGTCCTGAAGGCCCCACGTCAGCTTTGAGGAACTGTAAGCAACCACCGTGACAGGAGGCGTGGAGGGGACCCTGAGCAGCCAAGCTGAGCTCTAGCCATCTCAGAAGCTGGGGGACTCCTCAGACTTGGTGAGCTGCCTGCAAGCTGTGCAGAGAGCTCTAGGGCTGCAGCTTCCACGAGTTGTTGCTTGTGTGGGGTTGGATTCTCAGTGCTGCTGTGAGTACACGCTCCACCTTACTTCTGTTAGCGGCCTCAACAACAACCCATTGGATTTTGGTTTAGGAAATTGGACTTTGGTCAATTGTTACTTTTATCTTTCCTGGTTGCCTTTTAGGGGAGAATGAGAGAGAGAGAGAGAGAGAGAGAGAGAGAGAGAGAGAGAGAGAGAGAGAGAGAGAGAGAGAGAGAGAGAGAGAGATATCTCCCTAGGAAAGTCTTTTACACATCCTAGATACCCAAACAGGGAACCGACAGAACTGAAGATGAGTTGGCGATGTGTGACTGGATGGTCCTGGCTGTGGGTAGCAAGCTGTACAACTGAGACTAAACTAAACATCCTGGGGTAGAGCGCTCTAGGAGGGGCTTCCCACACAGCTGTCTTCCCTCCATGAAGTGCGGTAGGTACCTTCTTGCTATGGGAGCGGTTTCACAGTTCTTGCTATCGGTGGGGAGATGTGTAACTAAAGCTGAGCCGTCAGGAGTTGGAGTGTCTAAGGCGGGAATCCTAGAGTGGCAGTCTTCCTCTCTATGATGTGGACTGGCATGCTTGCTTAATGAGTGGAGTCCACTTGAGTACAGGGATGCCCTGAGAACAGTTAAAGTACAAGGACTGGGTCCGGGGGGCCTCAAGGAAGTGACCCCACAATTATGGAAGGGAAAAGTTCTCCTTCTCGAGAAGGGTGCGTAGCCAAGCTAAGTCAAGTGAGCAAACACACCCAGCAAGGGGCCCACTGGATTTTTCTTCCTAAAGTGCACTGGTCCCTCACAGTCTTATGAGACTGGCTAGCTTAGAGCAGAGTAGTTGATGAGCAGAATGAAGCCTTGAGCAGAGAAAGCGGCCTCCAGCCCTTGCTTTAATTCCAGGACAGTGCTGAATCAGGAGGGACGTTTGCCAAATGGCAATTACAAAAAAATTAAGTGGAGCTTTCTTTGTCTTATGTAGCCTTTTGACAGAAAAGGCAGTATATTTCTTTCACATTTCCCACAGTTGTGTAGCGAAATTTCGCGGTGTTTGGAAGTAGCATGGATGGGGCTGGCAGTGTTGGCAAGACGCTGTGGAGGTTGCCTGACCTCGGTGTAGGACTCCATATAACTGAAACCTAGGTGGCTGCTCAGCAGGAGCTTAGCAGGAGGAAGTACATGACACAGGGAGGTTCAGCTAGTGCGCTCTGTGTTCACCTCTGATTTCAGGTAGTAGTGACGGAAGTGTTTGTCACTTTTCACAGCTGGGGCCAATAGGAGAAGAGTACAAGTTAGATCCGTGCTGAGAAGCACTTCCTGAGGCCAAGAACTTGGAACTCATGGGAAGACTCGGGGAGTGGGGAGGAAAACATGGCAAAGGTGTAGAAAATAACCCTCTCTGTCTGCCAGACCTTTAGGAGAGAAAAGGGGAAGTCTGTGATCCGGCATGCATCTGGAGGCCTAAACGTAGATCTGGTACAGGAAACTGACAATCAAGAAATACTTCGCCCCTGAACTGCTCCAACTGGGGAAGACTTCTAAACAAGCAATAGAAAAGCTTGTCTCAGCCTGGTTCCTGTGGCTGTGGGACCTGACAACAGATGGAATCCATCTCACTGCCTGACTGCGGTGGGGGCAGAAAGGCTGAGCAAGGCAGAGACCCAGGCCTCATAAGATAAAGAAGGTCTAACCTGAGTATGAGGGGAATCAGTCGTTGATGGACTGGCTAAGTAGAGCCATTAGGAACACGTGGCTATCTCCACTCAAAGTCCCTGTAAATATCAGGGGCCAGAGGCCCACAAAGGAAGAATGGGGATTACTGGGGAGACTGAGAGAAGCTGTATTTGATCCCCAGTTCACAAGGCCAGAAAGATCGATGTTCACAGGACAGTTAAAAAGGAAGTTGGTTCAGCAGGGACCTTGGGAAAGAAAGGTATGGAGGACTTTAGTGGCTTTGTTGAGTCTTAGGTTGGGATGTGATATTTTTAAAGTAGGAAAGGCTTTGGTAGACATGGGTGACCTAGAGCAGCATGTGAGTTGAATTTGTAAATTGGTAATGAAGAAGAAGAAGAAGAAGGAGGGGGAGGGGGAGGGGGAGGGGGAGGCAGCAGCCAAGAGGTCTGTATAGGTCTCCTCTCCTGCTTGGACCTCAGCAGATTGCTGTGAACAAAGGTGTCATTTGCAGACTCGCTAACAGGTGCTGTCAGGGGCTGTGACACTGAAAAGAGTTTGGTGGAGGAAGGTGTCTAAGGTAATTAGAGGTCAGACAGGTTGGAGGGATTGAAAATTGTTTATTGTGCTGGTCCACCTTCTAACTGCAAGACTTCACATTTCTTTTTCTTTTCTGCTTTTCCTTTGTTTTGAGACTGGATTTCTCATAGCCCAGGCTGTCCTTGAACTCCCTGAGGAAGACTTTGAGCTCATGGGCTTTGTGCCCCTGCATGATGCAGGCACTGGCTGTGGGCTACCCAGGAGGAAAGGTGAATTTGTTCTTGCTTCCAGCTAGTGCTGGGATTCCAGACTGCAGCTTCATGTTCAACTTTCAATCTTCTATTGCCAGTATAGCAAAGTACTATAGTCTGTGGTGGTTTATAAGAAAATGGCCCCCAAAGGGCGAGGCACTATTGGGAGGGAGGGGTGGCTTTACTAGAGGAAGTGTGTCACTGTGGAGGTGGGCCTTGAGGTCTCATATATGCTCAAGATACTGCCTAGAGTCACAGACTACTTCCTGTTGCCTGCAAGCCAAGATGTAGGATAGCCAGCTCCTTACCCTGCACCATGTCTGCCTGTAAGTCACCATGATGATAATGGACTAAACCTCTGAAACTGTACTCCCCCCCCCCCCCCCCCCCCCCCCCACCCCCCGACAGTCTTCATCTGTGCCCCTCCCCTGCCTTGTATGAAGCTTGATATATACACCAGGCTGGCCTCGAACTCAGAGAGCACCCCCACCCCCCGACACCATTAAATGTTTTCCTTTTGTAAGGGTTGTATTGGTCATGGTGTCTCTTCACAGCAATAGAAATCCTAAGACACAGTCTTAGTGGTTTAAACACTGTCTTTAAAAGAAATTGACATCCTTTAGGTCAAAAGTCCAGTCCAGTTATCAATAATCTAAACATAAAAGGGCATTAGAAAAGCTGCCTTTCTTTCTAGAAGTTCAAGAGAGAGGAAGCCATGCTTATCTTCTCCAGCCTTTCCTGCCTATGACCTCCTTCCTTTGTGCTCAAAGCTCTGAGCAGCAGATGGAGTTCTTCTGCTGATGTCATCTCTTTGGTTCTCTGGCCACACCCAGGACTGGTTTTCCTCTGTGTACTTGTAATTGCAGTGTGTCTACCCAGACTGACCAGGATATTATCCCTAACTCAAGCTTAGTACCCGAGCCACACATGTAGAGTCTCTTTTGCCATTGGAAGTAATACACATACAAGTTCTCAGGATCCGTGTGTGGACATCTTTGAGGAACAATGTTTTACTCACCACAAAGACTTGGAACATATTTTAAGCAATCAATAGCACACTGATGTGAGATAGAAATAGACTAGAAGAGGTGGAGGAAGATACTGAGATCAAATGTTAGTCATTTGGGTAATTTCACCCCTTTCCAATAATTAAAAGACTGACGATCGGCCTGTGTGCTGTCTCAGACAGTTCTGTGGTGATGAAAGCAGGTCTGTGAAGCAGTGAAAGCTAGAGATCTGGGGTCAATGAAGCTTTAAAACACAGGCCTGGCAAGTCTGGGGTGTAGCTTAGTTGGTAGAGTGCTTGCCTCGAATGCATGAGGCCCTGGGTTCGATCCCCAGCACTATATGAACTAGATGCGGTGATGTATGACTGCAATTCCAGTGCTTGGGAGGGAGATGCAGGGGGAGCAGCCGTTCAAGGTCATTTGGGAGGTAGGTGCAGGAAGATCAGTTCAAGGTCAGTGGGGGAGTTTGAATTCAAACTGAACTATATGACCCTACGTGTCCATAAAAACAGAGCCCCAAACCACCCCCGAACTAACAAACCTAGGCTTGACCTATCCCTTAGTGTCTAAGGAATGGGCCCCATTAATAAACGAGCTCAGGCCAGTCTGAGAAGGAGAGGGATTTTTGTTTTTGTTTTTGAACTATAGTTTGACAGTAATGTCCCTTTGGCAGACATGGTGATGTCCTTTCCCAGACTTTAGTGAAGAGCTTGCTGTGGGTGAGCTGGGACGTCTGTCAGCAGACAGCCCTCAGCCCTCAGCCCTCAGAGAACAAGTTCACACCTCCTCCTGGGCAGCCACTGCCTGCATCATGCAGGAACACAAAGCCCAGGCCCTTTCCTCCCATCTTGGGCTGCTTTGAAGGAACATTCTTGCTCCAGGTCGCTGGGCGAGCCAGTCCTTAGCACCCACATCAGGGCTCACCATTCCCCTGCTCCACTTCTGGCTCCTCCACCCGCGCAGGTCCATTGTGAGGAGGATGTGTTGCTCACTGAGACACAAAGTCTTGCCTTTCCCAGAGACCTGCTCTAGTGTTTCAGAGGAAGCAGGGTCATCTTCACCAGGTCCCTAGTCATTCAAGTTTCAGATGATAGGGTGAGCTGAGTACAGGTGGACAAGGGACACCCCTGCCCGGGCCTTGCTCCTTGGTCTCTTCTTCTGTCAACTTCTAAGCACAGCTAAGCTTGGAATCACTCATCCTGAACCCTGGCTTTAAATAAGTGCAGATGCGGCCACGGGATACATATTCAGGCTCACGTCCATGTACCACTGCAGAGTGTTGTTGATTTCAATGTCAGAAAAGTAAAACACACTTTGTCAAAGCAAACACATCTTAGTGATTTTATTTCAGGTTGATTTTCCCCCACATGTTTCCCCAAAATAGTCAAAATATGCCAAGAAAAAAAAAAAACAACAAAAAACCAAGCCATTTATCAGATAAACAATTTTTGGGTTTTTTTTTTTCTGTGATTAAATATTATAGACACACTGTCAAGAAGAAAAATCAGCACCTGTATTCTTAAATTTTACAAGTTTCTCCATTCATATCTTATTCTCTAAAGCCCATATAAGAAGTACAGAAAGTAAATAAATGTAGGGTCTGGATGTATTTTTAATAGTGGATTGAAAATTTATGAGATTATTTTTCAGTGAGACATCTATTTTGATTTCATCTATGCAAACCACTTAATTAGAGGAAAAAATAGGCAAAGTAGTTCTGAGATAGAAATTTAAAAATATTTATCAGGGAAGACAATTGATATTTATATGTTAAGAATCGACTGTATTTCATTTTAGTGGAGCATGTGTCTCTCACTCACCTCCCTAACCTACCTTCAGTGAGCAGCAAATGCAAGCTATGTGTTATCAGAGATCACTTGTAAGCATATTATCTGCTGCATTAAATAAACCTTATTTAGGTAACTGCTTCGAACATTCTGTAGACTCTAGCCCTTCGTAAAGTTTTCAGTTATTGATTTTTAAATCTTCATAAGCCTCTCAGGAGGCCAAGCAGAGTCAGGCCGCTGACCCAGCAGGTCTTTTCCTGTGATTGGCACCTGCTGTCACCATACCAGCCTGTCAATAAGCGCTTATGGAGAGCCTGCTGTGGGACTGAGGTCTGCACCAGGGCCATGCAGCAGACTCCACAGAAACAAGAGATTAAGTTTGCTTGGAGCTCACATCCAGATTAGCATGCCAGCCACGCTTTATTCATTTCTTGTTTATCAGCAACTCTGACAAAGTGTTTCTCTAGGAGTGGCATGGTCTTTGATGCTCCTTAAACGAATGGGAAAAACCTCTCATTAATAATAATTCTTTTTTTTTTAAAGACAAAATGTATGTAGAATCACAGGTAGACTAGTCTTTAGAGGTTTGTATATTATTCATAGATGAGGTTTTACAACACAAAGTACCAGATATTCTTCATATTCGGACACCAAGTTACAACATTTCTCATCTTTCCCACTTTAAGAGTAAAATGTCAGGACATTTTTGTGATTCCCTCTAACAAGCAGCACAGGAGGGAGGTTCCTGGTCAGAATTTCTAACCAAGCCATGTACAGCAAATCCGAGATAGATCCTTTTCTTGCCACTGGAAGGCTCCTGATGACATGGAAGAAAAATTAAAAACAGAGAAAAATTACAGTGGGAAGGGACATTGTCTGCACTTCTGAATTAGTAAAAACTTCTGAAACGTTTATCATGTCCCCCTCAAACAAGAGCACTGCAATTATTTTAAATAGAGAAATTAAACTGATGTATTCTTCAGATAATGCAAACATGTATAAATTAGAAAAATGGCTTAGTCATTATACAGACAAAATAAAATTGTAACTTTAAACAGAGAATTTAATAAACTGATATATGCCTTATGGGGGAAGTTACCCTTCCTTCCAATATCTCCTGGGACTCTTTGTGTAGGGGTGCATACATTAGAAGTGGCAGTCCTCCAGGCCACACCGTACTTGAAGATACATATATTTTTATATATAGGTCAGTTCATGGGTAAAAATAAAACAGTTGGACATTTCCCCATTTTTAGCACCAATCTTCATTACATGAGTAATATTTTCAGGAGGTAGACTCCTAACATTGGTAGGGCCCTGGGATAAAGAATGAAAATGTAAAAGCTCGTGGCTTTTTGCCTTTGGTGATCCATTCCCACACTGCACAGAACCCGGTGAATCAGCCATGGACACACATAGCTCAAAAGTACCCACTCAGGAAATCAACCATGGACACACACAGCTCAGGAACACCCACCAAGGGAAGATGTTTGTGAGCCCTGTGGCCCAGTTGGGCTATTGGGAGGGAATTTCAGAGTTCCAGGCTCCTGGGGCCTGGCCCAAATGGGCAGGACTAGAAGGGCAGCTTCAGTCCAACATGGACACAAGCTTCTGGACCCACGAGTATTGTTGAACCACTAGAAAGTCCAAGCAGGTCCTGCTGCAGTTCACAGGACTCAGTCATTCCTATCCTAGGGTGACATTTATCATCCTTCATTGCCTAAACTCCAACATGCTCCAACTTATCTTTGAAAATTTTTTCCTACTGGAAGAGTCCTGGGCCTTTAGTCTGATCAGCCCACTCAGCCTTTCCCTTCCTCCTACCAGTCACAGGTGCCCGTACACTTACAGTACAATGAGGTTGGCGGCTCTCGAATGTTCCTGTAAGAGCTCGTTCAGGCGAACTTGGCGGTAACTCTGTGGACAGTATTTAGGAAGAGTTCAGTGCAGGTCTATCAGAGTTATGAATGAGAAGTTATCTTCTTACCTCAAGTCATGAATATGCAGAAGATAGGATTTTTAAAAGTCATTATTAAAAAATAGAGTCTACTTAAAAAGTGAAGATTTAGTGTTGTAAAGCTTCATGGGAAATTGTAGAACTGTAGTGTAAGTCTTGATTGTCACTGTGACGTGGTGGATTACTAGATTCTAGGGGTGCAGGGCAACTCAGATGGCAAAACCAAAAAAGAGAGAACAGAGGGTTTGGAAACAGGCTTTCCTCTGAAGAAAACCAGCTGAATCTTGCTGTCTCTTTGACAGCCTAAGAAGGTGGGTTCTGTTCTATTCTGTTTTCTTCAAGCTCTCTGACGATATTAGCATTGCTCTGGTTTCAAGTAAAAAGCCACCAGTAAACTCATTGGAAAATTATTTTACAGTGATAGGACTAATACCTACTTTTGCATTTCACTGGTTCAGAACCAGGTTCATATGTCTGACTTGCTTAGTTACATGCTATGTCTGTTAAAACTGAGTACTTAATCACACGCACAACTTATTGTTCTATTTCAGTGTTGTTTTCACTAATGCTGGAAGAATTTAATATTTTCTTCCTCCACAAGCTCTGTGGTCCTTGTCCTTTAATGTCCAATGAACATGTTGAGTTTTGTGCATAAATCTTCATCCCTGTTCTTTTCGTCATCATTACTACCTAACACTTCAATTTAAGCTCAGGTCAGAGAGAAACGTCTGGTTGTTCTCTCTTCTCCTCAGGCTGGCCCGGGGTTTGTGATCCTCCTGCCTCAGCCTCCAGAGTGCAGGAATTACTGGCCGTTGAGCTATCTAAGAAAGCTCATCATCTTACATCCATCTCACTTTGTGCAACACACACACACACACACACACACACACACACACACACGCACACGCACACGCACACGCACACTCACACTCACACTCACACACCCATGCACATGCACACGTATACACAGAGTTATTTTATTATTCCTGTGTATGTATGTGTGAGAGCTGCAGTGTGCTTGTAGATGTCAGAGGACAGCTTTTTATGAATCTGTTTTTTGCCTCCACAATGGGATCTGGGGACTGAACTCAGGCCACCTGATGAGCTATATCTTGTTAGCCCAGGCCCAACACCTGTATTCATTATTGCAAAAATACATCATACATTTCTGTAGATATTTGTGTTCGTTTTTCATAGCTGGGTTTATCAGGTTAAAGGTCTTTGTTATTGTTTAAATTGTGGGTCAAATTACCTTCATCCACATTGTATACCTAATGACTTAAATTTTAGATTAATAAAAATACATTTCAAAGGAGACCTCATAATATGGACCAATAACTTGTTTTGTTAACTTAAAAATGGGTTACTTTATAGAAAAAAAATGAAAATGTTTTCTAAATGATTATATCCAGTAATATGATGGAAAAGCCCCTGAAAATGCAGGTGCCTGGGTTGCTGAGGGAAGGCAGCTTGACCTGATGTAACCTTTCTTGAAACCAACCACTGTTTCCTCTTTCATCTAATTAGACAGTAAAGTGAAAACGAAGGAAGACAAGTCCTCACCTTTTCCTTGACGGCTTCCAGTTCTGCATCTGTAATTTTCCATGGACTTTCTCTTTTTAATTTCTCAGCAGTGGTCAAATCTTTGTGGCTTTCATGGAGCCTATAAGGTTCAATCATCTCTTCAAAGACTTTCCAGCTGAAATTGAATTGTAAAAGAGGCCTCACAGTGGGAAATGGACTTATTATTTGACAGATGCAAAGAATCAGAGCTGAATGGTATGCAAATCTTTCAAGAGTCATCTTTGCAGGGAATGTGCTGTGAGAGAAACCCTGGGCCTAGCTCTCCCTCCTTAGTCAGAGCAAGCAGTCGGTGTGTTTGAGGCCTGGTTAGTTTGCAAGGATCATCGATGTTATTAATTCGTGAACATGTAGATAGTAATTATTCCACAGATATGTTTTCTGCATAATGTAGTTAAAGACCCACTTATACTATAGACAGTGAGTATCCACGTGCTTGGAAGGCAGATCAATGGAGACATCTATCAGTTTCTGTAGTTGGGAGATGACCTCCATTCATTGAGCGCTGGGGGCCCTCCTCACCTGCAGTCAACTCACAATGCCCACTTCTGCCAGGAGGCTTTGGGCAGACAGGAAAATAGCCTGGGCTCTCACAGGCTTAGCAGTATTAGCACAAAATGTCTGCGGAAAATAATGGTGTCCTTGTGTTGGATGCTGCTGTCTGAGGTTTCCAAATGACTATTATTCATGTTTGTGTTAAGCGAGAGGACAAAAATCAATAACATTTAATGCCTAAAAATCTGAGGCCATCTTAGGGCATCTAAAAATAAATCATTGAGGAGAAAGCGAGAGGCAGTGTCTGCGAGCTATGGAACATTTAAAAATTGCAAAAAAGAATCTCATTCTTGTCGTACATGATAATCTCCTAAGATTTATTCTTCAAACCATGGCACAAAGTGAAGCTTATAATTTATGGAAGGAGTTGTCTTCAGAGCTCTGCTTAAGAAGCCCTCAACTATGAATAATTTTCTTTGGTTTTATATAATTTAGCTTACTTACAATTTAGTAACTTTGGGATGAATGATAATTAGAATCCATACGCTTTGGGTTAAGAAATTAAAATACGAAGTGATGAATTTAATTATCTCATCAGCTGGCCTGATTTAGGATTTGCAGATAAGAGTGCAGAGATTACAAAGGAGTAAAATTGTCTCTGCCAGTAAGCCTCTGGAAAGGACTGAAGAGGCACTGAATGCGGCACACTCCCATCGTGCTGACTCACACAGAGTGGGGAGCCGACAAGTAAGCAAGAGAACTGATGTGCCCCTATTATTCTTTCAACAATACGTTCATTTGCCGTTACTTCTGACAGTGTCATCCCTGAGAGGGCTGTGGTAACAGTAAGATGCAGGGTCCGGCCTCAGAACCTGGCCAGTTGCTCCGGGGCTTCCATTTTCCCTCCCGGGTAGCTAATCTGGCCTATAGAAGGGAGTGACAGTGGCCCCTGGGAGCCCCGTGAGAGCCAGAGTGATGGTGTGGGTTCAGTGCCTCGGGAAAGCGAGGTAGCATTGTGCTGACCAGCCCCAAACTTGGTTTCAGGATGGACAGCTGTGTTTAAAGTCTACATGTTCCTTTTTTTTTTTTTTTTTTTTTTTTTTTTTTGGTTTTTGGAGACAGGGTTTCTATGTAGCTTTGGAGCCTGTCCTGGACTAGCTATGTAGACCAGGCTGGCCTTGAACTCACAGAGATCCACCTGCCTCTGCCTCCCAAGTGCTGGGATTACTGGCGTGCGCTGCTACCACCACCCGGCTAGTCTACACGTTCTTATTTCAGTGCAGTTTGGGTTTCTCTGCACCTCATCCAGAGCCTGGCTAGAAAACACAGCATAAGAATGTTTTCCCTAGAAACAGAGGTGGAGTGGAAATTAGTAGTTGTTTCCACAGTATCCAGGGTGAGAACTGTTCCATCTGCAACATCAACCAATTCTAGCACATTTCTATGCTTTCTGCAAGGACTGAGCAAAACCCAGGTAGTTTTGAACCAATATACACCCAGTATTGTGGTGCCTACCATGAATGGCCCAGTGGTTTAGGGGGACAATGAATCCTGAATGGAGCATAAGAACCTACTTCAATGACTAGGGAGAGACACTTTCTCTCCTACTGAACGCACAAGTATGGAGTCCTAGTTGCTATTGTCAGTCACCTTGCTTTTATAAGCTAAACAAACTTTCATTGATGGCTTTCTATAAGAAGGGAGAATAGGAAGAATGAAAGAGAATCCGGCCTTTGTTATAAAGTTTATTTTCTAGGTCATTTAGCTGAAAGCCAGCCTACGCTTGTACTTAATTGTGACAATAATTTCTGTCATCTAAGTCACTTTGAGGTTTTCTTTCACTTGCACTGAAACATGCTAAGGGAATGATGAGGGAGACCAGAGCAGGACTCTGGGTCTCCTGGAACTGGAATTATAGATGGTTATTAGCCAGCATATAGGTTCTAAGAATTGAACCCTGGTCCACTGGAGAACAACCAGTGCTCTTAATGCTGAGCCATCTCTCTATGCCCCAAATGATTTTTCTTTAAAGTATCTTTTAATTGACTCTCAGCCAAGTAACATCTACTGTTAAATATAAATGAGGATTAATTCAGTTTTTTTTAAAATTAACTAATAACTATCCTGTCTTCTCCATCATTTTCTTCATACCAAAGTTCAACACGATTTTAACTGCACAAAACTTTCTCCCTGAGAGAGGAAAGGGAAGGAGGAAAAGTGTGATAATAATTCAAAATTTTACCCTTGGTCTACATAAGATTTCCTCTTTCAAAGTAATTTGTTGGAGTTGTTTTTTGGACTACTCTAGCATCTAGCATCTTTAAGCTAAATTATCTAGTTAATAGCTTCAATTTTTCCCTTGATTTCCATATAAAGATTGCTGTCTTTGGCCCATGACTTTTAATTCAGTTTGTACAATAAAAATGGATTCTAACCACAATATGTCCTACGTTTTTCTAGGCTCAATTATTTTCTCATTTAGTTGGCTTTTGTATTGTCCTCACCTTTGGCCCTCCCATACTTAGAGATAAGGTTTCTATGACAAAATGCCTCCGACATGGCTAACCAACATTTCACAGTGCCTGCAGGATTTACTAAAGGGAATTGAAAGATAATTTAACACTAGCCTTCCCCAAGCAAATCACTGACAAACTGTTATCCACTTTGTATAACACCAGGTGAGCTAGACAAAAATAGTGATCTGGGGACAGTTGTTAATGGTAGTGAAGACTGCCCAGCCAAGAAGGCCACCATGGGCACTGAAATTGGGACAGTCTTCTCTTGATGGTTTAGCTTGATGACCTGGGGCTACATTCATCTACAAGAGCTTTCTCTGTTTAAGTGTACTACCCAGAGCTAACACCAACATGCCTGACCTGCTGCCAGAGGCTACAGGTGCCATGGACCAAACGACTGCTTTCTGTTCCAAACTAGGGCTACTTTCAAATCCTGGGACACGAGTTACCAGCAGGGTACATGGCACTTTACACATCAATATGCTAATGTACACTGCCTTGAGAAAAAGAGGCCATCTGCCAGAAAGAGTGCTCAGACGAGCCTTCGCCTCTCTCACCCTCTACCACATGAGGGAATTAGTACCCTAGTAGAAGAGGAGGAGATATCAGAATTCTTTCTCCATCATACGAGGACATAGGAAGTGACCGGCTTCGGGCTATAGAAAGGGAATCCTCAACAGATACACAGCCAAAAGCATCTTTATCTTGGATTGCTCAGCCTCTCGAACTGGGAAACAAGTGTCACTTGGCCAAACTGTCCAGCCTATGGCGTTTTGTTGACGGCTGATATAATAATGGAGTTGAGAAATTCAACAATTGATAAGGGTTAAAATGCTGCCGTGCTTTGAAGGCATTTAAATGATTATTCCCACTTTGTCACTCTCTAGTTTCTGGTGGGGAGACTTCAACCACCCTCTAGGTCTCAGATAGTTTTAGAGGCTCCCACAAAAGTTCACAGGCCATTAGCATTGAGCCCTTTAGTGCCTGAAACCTAAATTAGCCCTGGGATGGGGGCCCTTTCCTCGGGTTTCTTGCCATAACCCTCTCCTCTCTATTAAAATGGTTTTGGTGGCTCTGTGTCACAGTTATTGAAAAGAATTTCTTCAATATCTGTCTAGAAGACATTGCAGCAAATGCATTACATTTTCAACTCTTGATTAAGCAACACAAAAAAGAGCGAGACAGGAGCAGGGGCTGGGAGAGGAGCCTGTTAAACAATTCACACCTCTCTTTGTTTGGCTTGATGTTGATGTCTCCAATTATATGGATGTCCGCAAATTTTATCCTAAATTTGCTGAGAAGAGAAGCCATTCTGAAAGAGAAAGAGAGAGGGGGAGAGGGAGAAAACCACGTTAGTGCCTATGTGTTTGAGTTAAGGCATCAAAAGCAATCAGTATAGCTTTCAGATGGAGACTTTTCAGTTTTGAGTTTCATTAACATATTTGTTGGAGACGTTAAGTATGGACAAAGCTGCTCCACTGAGGGCATAAAGCAAGCCTCACAGTCGATTGAGGTGGCACACACCTGCTCGCCCAGGGCACAGAGGTAGGAGGACTATGACTTAGAGCCCAGTGTGACACACTCGGAGACATCTTGTCATAGAAATAAAATCCAAGAAGTAAAAACAAAGAAAGCCTGGGAGATCCAGAGAATAGAAAGAGCAAAGGGAACTCTGCATTCATCTTCATGAGAGAGAATGTGAAGTCCTCCTTGTCATCAGACAGAGCACCCTACTTCTTATTGATGGAAGTTTTTATAAAGTTGCTGGTAAACTAGTAGTTATAGTGTATGGCTATGTTGATCCCCAACCCTGGAAATTGGTAATTTTAACTTAAAGTTACAGAAATCTTGTAGGGTGGTTCAAAAATTTCTAGTCTTATACTTTGCTTAAATTTTGTCCAATTTGGCTTGTTATTCTTTTTCTTTCTTTCTTTCTTCCTTTCTTTCCTTCCTTCCTTCCTTCCTTCCTTCCTTCCTTCCTTCCTTCCTTCCTTCCTTCCTTTCTTCCTTCCTTCCTTCTTTCTTTCTTTTTTTCTTTCTTTCTTTCTTTCTTTCTTTCTTTCTTTCTTTCTTTCTTTCTTTCTTTCTTTCTTTCTTTCTTTCTCTGTCCATCTACCTCTTAAAAGGAATCAATAAATGTGATATTATTGTATGAGCATTGTAATATATTCATTGAAAGTAAATATATAGATATACTTATATCCTTATTATAAATGTGAGTATATGTGTGTGTTTACCATAATTCCATTCACCTGAGATGGAAAAGAAAGTATGAAAATTGATGGAATGAGAGTTCTGTCATTATTGCGCTGGAAGGTACAGAGCTCAGGACTTTAGCCTGTCACGCAGGACCGAGAGCTGCTCATGGTGTCTCCCCAGGTTTCCCATGACAACTATGAGTGCACCAAGCTCCTGGACATTTGTTATTCTCACATCTACACATCAGCTCCAAGTGGGTACATTAATGAAAAATCTACAAAGATACATGATGCAACTTTACTTTAATTACAAGTCTCTCTCTCTCTTTCTTTTGAGACAGGGTCTCATTATGTAGCCTTGGCTGGCCAGGAACTTGACATGTAGTCCAGGTTGGCCTTGAATTTGCTATGTAGAGCAGGTCAAGCTCAAACTCAGAAAGATCTGCCTGCCTCTGCCTCTCCCCAGTGCTAAGAATTAAGGCATGTGCCAGTACACCCAGATAACTCAAAGCACTGAAAAGTAAAGCAGTGGAGCAGCCCATCCTCAGAATGACCAGAAAGGCGAGTCTCAAATTACTCACGAAATTTTTTCCTCTTCAATACGGTTGATCTTTCCTCCAACGTAGATTCTTAACTTACAGTCTTTCCATTTTTTTCTGAGAGTCAAGATATATGGGATAAGAAGTGTTAACCCTGGAATAAAGAGTATAAATTACAACAGAAAGGATGAAAGAAATTGAGAGAAAAAAAACCCAAGAGCATTATTTTATTCATTCTCATTATCATAGCTATTAAATGATTTATGGCCTTCAGGAATTCAGAAATGGGGCTGAACCAACCCCTTTTCATACACAGCCATTTTGTTCTGCTCCCCAGTGAACATTTTGGATAACTTACCTCCATCATCAAATAACCACCAAACATCAATCGTGCCTTTTCCTTGTTTCTTTTTAAACTGAGCACTGGCTTCCACCAGCTTCTGGTTGAGCTCCCCGACGTGCATGGACTGGATGGTGTTGATGTTGCCCTCTGAAATGGAGGACACAGTGACACATCTGTTTTGTCTTTTGAGGACAGAAACAAGGTGACTTTCCAATAAGCCTACTGAGGAACAACATTCATGGTGTAATGGATAAATTCTGAGCTCCGTTCTACAAAGTCAAACTCCACGATTTAGCTTAGCTAAGGAAAGAATTGCACTCAGTTCCACCTACAGTTCTTGCTATAAAGCAGTGTGTTATTTTTAGATCTTTTATTCTCACCATGGAATTATAATTTAGACGTATGGTGGCTTAAACTTCAAAGATACCCCACAAGCTTATATTTTGAGTCGTTTCCCCCCACCTCAGCTGCTGTGGGACGGTCTGTATGTCAAATTGCTCTGATTGGTCAATAAATAAAACACTGGTTGGCCAGTGGCCAGGCAGGAAGTAGGTGGGACAAGGAGAGAGGAGAATTCT